ATTGGATTAAGAAAATGTGGCACATATACACCATGGAATACTATGCAGCCATCAAAAAGGATGAGTTTGTGTCCTTTGTAGGGACATGGATGCAGCTGGAAACCATCATTCTTAGCAAACTATCAGAAGAACAGAAAACCAAACACCGCATGTTCTCACTCATAGGTGGGAACTGAACAATGAGATCACTTGGACTCAGGAAGGGGAACATCACACACCGGGGCCTATCATGGGGAGGGGGGAGGGGGGAGGGGGGAGGGATTGCATTGGGAGTTATACCTGATGTAAATGACGAGTTGATGGGTGCAGCACACCAACAAGGCACAAGTATACATATGTAACAAACCTGCACGTTATGCACATGTACCCTACAACTTAAAGTATAATAATAATAAATAAATTAAAAAAAAAAAAAAGAAAAGGAGGGAGGCAGGTAGCTCAGATAGCTCTCTCTTATGGAGTCTTTTTCACCTCGCCTTTTCTCTTGGTTCTGGTAATTCCCACTTTCTCTCTTCTAGTCTCTCTATCATTTTATTAAGCTGCAAAAATGAGCTTGCTTTTCCTCTACATCTCCTTCCAGATAATACCGTAAAAACCTTACTTTTCCCTAGAAAATATATTTTCATACGCTAAGAGCCATCTATTTTAAAATGAATTATGTATCTTTCTCAGTGTTTTACAAAGCATTTTCTCCCTTAGCACTATATCACATTATTATATTTTCATGTTTAATAGAATATTTTTGTATTGAAATTATGCACAATTGCAAATTATCATTAGACTGAAAGAGGACAACACAACACTTAAAGTATAAATAAGCAGAGCTTGCATGAAAGACTCTGAATTGGAGCTTTTGTATCTTTGTTAATTATCTTTTGGATTATGCAGATGGTATTTTGCAATGGGGCAGCAGAACATCAGTTTTCTCTGAAGTTCTGCCATCTATTGGTTAATTCACGCAATAAAAATTTATTCTAACATTAATTAAAAACAACCACCATGGAAAGTCTTTCTATTTATGGAATAGAAAATATGTACATTCTTTGTAGAATTATGTAAAATTTTTCAAAAACAAAGTCTCTATGATGGAGCTTTAAATATAAACTTTAGTGCCAGCAATTAAGTGTAATTATTTTTATTAGACCTATTTTGTTTTTATGGCATTGTGGCCGAAGCTGAAGAATAATGGAAAAATAACTTGCTAAATATCAAAATATTATATCCAACCATCAAAAATGTAATACTAACTGTGATGTGTATACGATTTCATTTTATGGAAAAAGGAGGTAGTTTAAAGAAGTTAAGTCACATCCAAAATCACACACAGCATAACCAACAAAGTCAAGATTTCAAGTCTGTTTGTCTAATTTTATTTTTTTCTCATACACAAGGAAACAATGTTTGTTTAATTTTAAAGTTCATGCTAATGACAAGTGGAAAAGCAGCTGCTCAAAGGATCTATAATCTCAGTGGCTATCAAAATAGTCACTTTAAAATATATATATATATATATATATATATGTATAAATAATTATAGACTGTGTCCTTAGGATGGCTGTGGCCTCTCCTTCTATGGCAGGCATAACTAATATCTTATAGTAACCGAGACACCTACTGAGTATGCCCCGTGCAGTCACCACACCCATGGTCCTGCAGTGGACACACAAGGAGAAGGAAGTTCCCAAGTCTAGAAATTAGAGTCTCAGTAATGGGAAAAAGGATGGAAGAATAAACTTAGTTGTTTCAAAGACATCTCACTATTGTTATTTCACTTAATCATCATCATGAGGCAGTGAGGCAATATTATTCCCATTTCTATGCGAGAAGACAAAAATTAAAGGTAAGGGATTCGGTCACAGAGCCAATGTGGTAGAACTGGACTCTGACTCAGGTCCTCAGACTCAATATCCTATACTCTTTCTACCCATTAAGTGAATGAATAATTAATAATTAACTCTGAACAAGAAGAAAGAACTGGTTGGTAAAACAAAAAGTTAGTGGACTATTGGAAGAAAGTTGGCTAGAGTATATTTGTTGCTGCAAAACAAACTCCTTAAAACTTTGTAGCTTAACACCACAATCATTGTAGGTTACACATTCAGAGAAGGCTCAGCAGGATGGTTCATCCTACTCTAAGTGATGTCTTCTGAGACTGGAATGTACAAGATATTCACTTCACTAATTTCTGGCTTCTCAGCTAAGTTGACTTCAGTAACTGAGGGCTGGTTGGGGCTGCTTTATGGGGATGATATGCCTATGCCTAGGATTTTTGGATTTCTTTGTTGGCTGTGTTCTTTGGTTCTGCACTGTTGTAGCCTCAGGGGTCTCTATCTCTACTCCTCTCTCCCTCACCCGGTATCCTGTTTACATGGTGTTACTACATGGTTTCTTCACATGATCTTTCCAGCAGGCTAGCCAGACCTCTTACTTGAAAGCTCAGGGCTCCCAAGAGAGCAAAAGTAAAAGTTTACAGAGCTTCTCAAGATTAGTCAGAACTGGCAACATCTTTCCTGACTTATTTTAAAAATTAAGTCACAGGCTCAGCCTAGATTCAAGGATAGGCATAAATAATGAGAAGTATGGGTAAATGGAGGTACTAATTTAATGAATTACCATAACCCTGACCCCTAATGATTCACAGTTCTACCATATACATTATATATTCATTCTCTAGAATGCCTTCCAAAGTTGTCATTGTGTTATGACATAGGGTTCAGGCTTGAGGTTCAGGGTCTACTTACCTAGTTTAGGTCCATGTGCAGGTGATGCTCTTCAGAAGTGGGCCCTCCAATGAAATCAAAATTCAAGTTGTCTTCCATACACCTAACACACATAGGTAAGGCTGTGCCAGGAAAACCAAAAAGGCTTTCCTATTTACAAAGGGTGAAAACAGAAGGCCCACAGTAGCCTGTGAATTCATAGAAATTTTGAAATCCTGACAGGCATAAATTTGACATTCCTTGACTAGGTCCCAGTTCTGCCCTCAAGGAGTGTTTCTTCATGGCCATTGGTTCCACCCTCAGAAGTATTTTTTTTTCCTATGAGAAATGGCTTTTATTTGGAGTTGAGTGGTTTTCATAGCCTGTATATTGGGGTTCCCAAGACCACCTTAGGCCCGATGATTTACTAGAAAGACTCACTGGTCTTGGAAGCTTTATTCACACAGTTATGGTTTATTACAGTGAAAAGATATAGATTAAAATCAACAAAGGAAAGATGCAAATGGTGTGACTTCCGGGAGTAACCTGGTGCAAGCTTCCAGGTGTCCCATTCCTGTGGAATGTACTTAATTCTCTCAGCAACGATGTATGACAACCAGAAAAGCTCCCCTGAACCTTGGTGTCCAGTGATTTTGTTGGGAAGTCACTCAGAATCCTTCTTCCCCTCAGCAAAATAGGCATTCACTGTAAGTCATATTGTCAGCATAAAGTAATTGTCAAACTGGTACTGTATGTCCCAAGGCCTCAGGCATACCAAAACACTCATCAGGTAGCATATTCCAGGTCATAGAGCTCATATCCCAGGAACCAGCCAAAGGCTAGTCCTGAACACAGACTTTCCCTCAGAATGTGCAGGGTTTGAGCAACGTGGGTCTACTGAGTTAACCCTTTCCTGCACAATTTAAAATTATTTTATCATTTTAAACTTTCTCTGGTCTTTTGAGTTCAATATAGTATAATTCTTTAGAAAGTTAATACATTTTCTATGTATCGAATTATAAATTTACTGTATTCATTAAAAGCTATACCCATAAATCTCTTCAAAACAGATCTCTTTCCACTTGGACCTCAAAATCAGAGTGATAGGGGATAAATTAAGATTCTTAAAAGCCCCACTGTCTATCGGAATTGTTCCACAATGTCTTAAGTCTTTCTGAAGTGTTAACAAGTGTTTCACATATTTTTGTTCCTGTAATAACTCTTTTACTGGGAGGGCCCTGGATTTGATCTTTATTCTGAGGAAATTACTAATTCACTCTGAGAATCTTTTGCTATAAGAGATGGGATGAGAAACAGTTTTATGTTGGAATCCTAAAGTCGTGGTTTATTTATATTTACCCTAAATTCTTCTTGAAAATAAAACTTTTATCTCTCTTATTTTATTGCTCCCAGTTTTATTATAGGCAGCTGAAGGAAGCTCCTTAGGCAGATCCATCATTTTATTAGGAGCTCTTTCTCCGTCCATTTACGAAGGCAACAGTTCTGTGTATTCTTCTGCCCCCATTTTCTTATGAAGCTTCTGGTCCTCCCTCTCAGCGAGGCATCTTCAGGCTTGCCTCACTGCCTGGCCTCAAAGCTAATGTGGCACAGCCCGGTGGTAAAGTCTTCTACCATGATGATCGTTTGGGCAATTTCCCTTAAAATTCCATCAGGTTTTGCTATATCAACATGAATCATAGAGCCACTTTTTAAGGTGCATACAAGTTCATAATTTCCTTATATCTATTAGCTTAATTGTTCCTTATAATTATTACCTATCATCTCACTTCATCTGTCTTAATGCTTTATCCTCAAAGTCTCTTTTGTTTGGTATTAGTATCTCTGCCCTATCTTTTGGTTTGCCAGTCATAACCTTTTTCTAATTCTTTATTTTCAACCTTCTGAGTTTCTTTGCTTTACTTTTGTCTTACATAAGCACCATGTTGCTGGATTTAAATAACTCCTTCCAGTAATAATGGTTACAGGTACATTTAGACACGATTCTACCATCTTATTTTGTGTTCTGTTTGCCATTTCTGAGGTGAGGCCACTTGATCCAAGACCTCAGGGATGAAAAGCATCCAGCCTTGGGACGTGCCCTTTGCAGGCAGAGAAAAGAACAAATGCAAAGAGCGGAGGCAGAAAAGCACTCAACAGAGCTGAGGACTAGGAGGAGGCCATTGTGACTGAGGTGTGGTGAAACAGTCCTGCAGGGTGGAGTAGCTGCAAGGACCCCCATGGTGGAGGGGCTTGTAGCCATGGTGAATGTTGAAGGAGTTCTATGTCCCCCAGAGAGGGCTTTCCATAAGGAGAAGGGTCTTGGCTTCTTTCTGTCTGAGAGAAACCAGTTCACCAGATGGTGAGACATGGAGAGTGGCAGAGCAACCCTTCTGTGTTCTCTTTGTTGGGGATCCACCTGCCTGCAGAGGGCACGTGTCAGGTTTGTGCTCCACCATAGGATGAACACTCCCTCTCCTGTGCTGGGACCCACAATTTTCCGGCAGTACCACTGTCTAGCCCAGGCCTCTGTGCCAGCAGCTCACTGGCCCACACTCACAGGCTGCATTCCCCAATGTTGTCAGAAGCAAAGGTTATGCTTCGACCTCTATATGCCTGGCTCCTGTGTCTGGTAGGATACAGAAATAGTATTTAGTCAGCCCATGGGAAAAACAAACAAACAAACAAACAATATCATACAACTTACGTATTTTTTTCAAACTGCAATGGGAAGAATTTGAAAGATTTTAAGCAGTAGTTTGGGTTGAAATTATCTGATTTATGCTCTATAAAGATAATTTTTACTACTGAGAATAGAATGGAACATAGTGGTCAAAATTAGAAGCCAAGAAGAGAAGTGAAATGAGTAATGGGGAGGAGTTTATGATATTCCTTGAACTTAGTGTTAGCACTTGAGTGGAAGGCGCTGCTAGGAGTTTCAGTGGAAAGCCTGGGAAGGTATCACCTTTAGGGGTTTATACATAAGATCTGTGTTTGGGGTTTGTTGAGTTTGAAGTGTCCATTAGTGAAGTATAGATATCAGATGTGTAATTGAATTTGATGCTGAAATTTAGGGTTACATCAGAACTGAAGGTTTACATTTGGGACTCGTCAGCAAAAGGTCGTATAATGCCCTTGGATTCTGTATGAAACCTAACACGTGTTTGATAGCTATAATTACAGGGTGATCAAGGCTGATGCCATAACTATGCAAGGTGGGGAGAAGATGCAGGAATGCACGCATGACAACCACCAACAGTCGGGATAGCTGCTTTATGAACCTACTTACTCTCCTCACAGTCGAGATCATCAGGAAAGAGTCATGGCATAAAGCTGGAAGAACAATGTCAGGAATATTTTGTCTAATCAAGAGGATGAACCATAATCTGATGCAATCTCCGATTTTAAAATTACTTATTTCATCCTTTATAATTTATTGCTAATGTATAATTTCATGTATGTTATTAATCTCACAAAACATAAACAAAATTTTGGAAAATTGAAAAATGGATGCATGAATGTTCAATGAATTGAACATTTACTGAAAACTCAGTAACTATTCAAACGAATGTTCAAATCAGAAAAAAAATTGACTTAAAATTTTGTGCTGCTTACCTGAAAAGCACAGTGCAAAAGGATTGAGGGAAAACCTTAATATATAAGGGAACAGAAGCAGATGCAAAATCTATGGATAAATATATGATTTTTCATTATTGAAGAAAAGTTTGGATTCACTTGGAATAATGAAAAAAGGTAGGAGGAGAATGTACCAAAGTATTTGCCTTTTTGGAATTGAAAGTTTTCAACTATAAAATTTAACAGCTTGATGACATAAAAGGATGAAACTCTTAAAAAAAAATGACACAAAGTGGACTAAAGCCGCCATCACAACCACTTTCAGGAAAATATCTACAAATAGATTGTCCTCCCATTATTAGATTGGTGTTAATAATTATTCAGGCGCCAAATGGTAGTTTGGAGAATTACTGAGGGAAGATTTTCAGACCAATTCTCCTATTTGAGACATTCTGAGACTTAGAAATGTGTGGAATTGAATTAAGCACTGGTGAAACAACTTGTTTTCTCTTCTCTGTTACAAATAAGCCTCTCTAGCATTCTGGTTAAACCTCACAGCCCCTTAAGGGGAGGGGAGAAAAGGACCTAACATTTACGGAGGCCAGTGGGGTGAGGTCTGCAGTCAGTTCATAAGGTTTCAAGGGGAGTTAAGACCCTGTTGCTGCCTTCAAGGAGCTCATTTGGCTACTTGTTTGATCTCACAGCAGTTTGCCGTGACAAGTAAAATTGCTCCTGTTGGATGAGGACACTGAGGCTGAGGAGGAGGGAGTGAGAGGATGAAGGGAACCTGTCTAAGGTCTCCCCTGGTGTGACGGGCAGGGAATCTGGCCCAAGCTGGCTGCAGAGCGGTGGAAACTGAAGGTTCAAGATATGCTTTGTGGGTAGAAGACCATCAATAACAAAGAGTTTGTTATTCATTCATTAAAGACGTGCAATGTATTGCCAGTGCAGCCATACCAGGCATATGGAGGGAAAAGAAATTACATTCATGAGAAGAGATGCATCCTTTCTCTTAACAGTTTATAACCTAACAGGAGGTTGATACAGTAATTATGAGAAAAATGCAATGTGGAAAATACCATGAAAAGAAATACTATGGGTGTCTACACTTCACTCCTTAACAACTTATTCTAGTGACTTAGCCCCCACAGAATTCCTGGGTCCCATCAATCTCTTTTGATCAATATGGACATTGATTATCAAAGGCTTATAATCAAACTTGAGCAAATTAATAGCTCCATATATGCATAATTGGTTGATTATTTGTGGGTTATATATAATTCTTCCCACTCTAGTCACTCTGTATTATCCCACAATTTTCATTATTTCATATTTCCCCAAAATGTTCAGGGAACACAGGAATTGCAGAAATGAAACTCAGTAACTGTATGTCTTATTTGCATATTTGGTTAAAAAGAAAAGATGAACGATAAATTTTTAAACTACCATTGGATTTCAATTATTCATGCCTTCATTGGCTTCTCTTTTTATTTCCAAAAAAGTTTATCTGCCTTTCCAATAATTTGTCTCAATGTTATTAAGAAGTAGGTACATTAAGCTAATATCTTAAAAAATTGAATCAATGTGAAAATTTTAAAAATTAATCTTGAAAGATAGAAGTTTATGATGATAAAATTTAAAAGTTCATATGAAAAGGAGATTTAAAAATATTTCAACTATAATTTTATTACCCCAAGATAGCCACTGATAATATTTTGTTATAATTTTACATTGTTCTGGAGCTCACATTTTTGTCTTAAAAGTATGTAAGACTTTTTTCTGTATTAGCACATATGCAGTTGGTCTTCTGTATTCGTGAGTTCCACATCTGTAGATTCAACTGAGAATTGAAAATATTCAAAAAATAATTGCATCTGTACTGAACAAGTACAAATATTTTTCTTGTCATGATTCCCTACACATTATAGTACAAATACTATTTAGATAACATTTATATTTTATTAGGTGATATAAATAACCTAAAGATGATTTAAAGTATATAGGAGGGTCGGGTGCAGTGTCTCATGCCTGTAATCCCAGAACTTTGGGAGGCCAAGGCAGGTACATTGCTTGAGCTCAGGAGTCCGAGACCAGCCTGGTCAATACAGTGAAACTCCGTCTCTACTAATAATACAAAAATTAGCTGGCTGTGGTGGTGCACACCTATAGTCCCAGCTACTGGGGAGCCTGAAGTGGGAGAATTGCTTGAGCCTTAGAAGTGATCACGCCACTGCACTCCAGCCTGGGTGACAGAGGGAGACGCTGTCTCAAAAATAAATAAATAAATAAATAATATCAAAAGTATACAGGTGGATGTGTGTAGATTATATGCAAATACTATGCCATTATATATCAGGGACTTGAGCTTTGTTGGTTTTTGATACCCACAGTGAGAGGTGGGGAAGAGGGTGTCCTGGAACTAATCCCCGGATACTGAGGAAGACTAACTCTTCATCACCTTTCAACGATCACATAGCATTCTACTGTAAAAATGTGCCATAAATGACTAAACTATTCACTTGCTTAACAAGGTATTTCTATATACTCCTTATAAACAAGGCTTCTATGAGTATCTTTGTACATATATTTGTTTTATTAGGTCTCATATTTAGAAATAAAATTGCTAGGTCAACGGTACTAACATGTTTAAGGCTTTTGATACATATTGCCAAATCTTCCTCCAGAAATGAAGCAATCAATGTTTCTGAAAGCAGTCTAGTAGAAAGCTTATTTTCCAAAACTCCCTATCATTACTAATTTGATGAATAAAGATAGCTCATTTTAATTAAAAATGTAAAATCTAATACTTTAACATTTTAAAGTTTAACCTTTTGATTTTTAAACAGTTGTATACAGATGAGCAGAAAACAGGAAGAATTAAACACCCACTCTAAGCACTGAGCACACCAAGTTAAGAAAAGCTGTTTTGGATTCCACACCAGGTAGGAACTGAGAAGCTAAGGATTAGGCCCAACAAGGAAGAATAAAGGCAGGAGAAGGGACCTTCAGTCATAGCTGTTATCAGCCTTGGGCCGGCTTCACAAGGAAATTTGAGAGTAACTCAAGCTTTGGTAAACACTCACATGAATTGTCCGGAGATGCCTGGGGAAAGAGAATGAAAATGAGAGGATAAGGAACCTTGGGACAGGAACCCAGACGGAAATTATTACAGGAGAGTAATTAAAATGCCGTGACAACCCTCTGAAGTTGAAAGAGAACAGTGCACTGGAGTCTAAGGCTTTGTCCTTTTCCGGCTGTAACCATTGCCTTCCTGTCTCCTTCATAGACCTCAATCATGGAGATCCGTAAAAAACAGTCATCACTGATACCTTGCTATTTTTTTGATTTTTAAAAAAATGTTATTGTACAGGCGTCTTTACTTTGCATTAACACATGATGCATCTCAGGTGAACATGTTGAGATAGTCTCCAGGGAAGTTGGTAGAGAGGGATGATGGGGAAGACACACAAAATGTCTGCCCCTTCTGAGATAGGATTGCCAAGGAGCTGGCTAATGAGGGTGCACAACAGTGTGCGTTCACCAGCACTCCCAAGGGTATAAATAAAGGAGTTAAATGAGTACCTGCTATACCCATACAGGCAGTCCGGAGTGTACAGAGGGAGCATGACAGGGTACGGCCTCCCACAAGTCTTATACCAGCCTCCACCCTAGACAGAAAAATCTAACTTCCTTCTGGAGACTTCCAACTGCCCATCCTACTGATAAAGCAACAGCAACAAAGAGACAATTGTGGTTGCTCGCAGATTTGCAGGTGGGAAATGCAGAAAAACTCTGGTCCAGAGTAAAAACAGCTTATCTTACATGTCCTGATTCTTCTCCATCATCTCTACCACTGAGAACACCAGTAGTAGGCATGGCGGCTCATGCCTGCAATCCCAGTGCTTTGGGAGGCCAAGGCAGAAGGATCATGAGCCAAGGATTTGGCAACCAGCTTGGGCAACATAGTGAGACCCCATCTCTACAGAAAAAAAGGAAGAAGGAAAGAGGGAGAGAAAGAGAAGGAAGGAAGGACGGAAGGAAGGAAGGAAGGGAGGGAGGGAGGGAGGGAGGGAAGGAGGGAGGGAGGGAGGCAGGGGAAAGGAAGGAGAAAAGAAAGAAAAGAAAAGATAGCCAAGTGTGTTGGCGTGTGCTTGTTGTCCCAGCTACCCAGGAAGCTGAGGCGGGAAGATAGGTTGAATAGAGGAGTTTGAGGCTGCAGTGGGCTATGACTGTGAAACCGTACTTCAGCCTGGGTAATAGAGCAAGACCTTGTCTCAAACACACACACACACACACACACACACACACACACACACACACGCCTGCACATATGTCAGTATAATGTATATGACCCAGCATTTCTAGAGATCCTTTATAGGCATGATTGCTGTCCCTTCCTCATGGAAACAGTCCTGTGAAGGTGGCAAGCTATGACTGTTTTTAATTCTTGTGGCACTTTTAACGTTCTTATTAAATCAAAAGAGGGACTGGCCTATTGAACTTTCCTCAAATATAGAATGATTCCATGTGCAAAGGCTCATCAGCTCTGCCACAGGAAAAGTAATATGGGGTGCTGGGGACCTTAAACTGTCCTGTGGTTACACATTAGACTTTCTATCTGCCCTTCAAAAGACGGTAGGTCTCAGAACTGGTTTGAACCTCTGGAAAAAAAAGAAGAACTCTCCCTAGCAGATGGCTTGAATAACTCCAGCAGAAGGCTGACGCTAATGTAAATAATATCTAAATGTTTAATACTTTTTAAAGTAGAGGATAAATGGATAATAGAAAACTTGGGCTAGCCTCAGTCCCTTATTCCTACATAATGAACACCTTGTTTGTTTTCAAAGAATCAATATTTAGTTTAACTGAAATATTTGGGACATCATTAATTTTGACCAAAGGTATCCAGCTATAACATTTATTTCAAAACCAAGCTTGTGACAGTTGAATTAAAATATAAATATTACTTTTTCTCTCCACAAATAATGTCACAAAACAAATTATTTTACTCATGGTATACATTAGAAGAAATTTACCATGTGTTAATGGTTCTCCATTCTAAAGTTAGAAAGTACCCACCTTATAGGAATTTCAACGCATATTATAATTTTTTTCTACTGTGAATTTGATATTCTAATATAATCTGTCATCACTAGAATCACTTCCCTTAGGTCATCTTAGGGAAGTGGCTGTAAAGTCTAGAAGAGAGATGTTGATTTGATCTGTTCATGCATAAATAAGCTTGCATGTGGCTCAGCCCCAAACAGAAAATTATATTAATGTGGAAATACTCGATTAAATGAGATTACTGGTTCCTGAACAATTCTCTTGATGGGTATAGAATTTCTTTTGTTTGTTCCAATATGTTTTTTAAAGCAAACTCTAACCTTCTTAATTTTCCTTTGATCTAACGTCCTTTGTAAACTGCAGCCTTGACCAGATGAGTTTTGTTCTAAGAGTATTAGCTTCTATTATCAGTGCTGGTGTTAAAAAGGAGACTCAGAGGGAGATACAAGGAGCAATAGAGAGGCAACAAAATGACTGCAGGAGTTGAAATTGTTTCACTAGGAGGATTTTAATAATATGTCCTTAGAAGAAAAAATACCTAAAAGTTCATCTAATCCAACTTCTTATTGTATTATTGTGGAACGTTGAGCCAGAGGACATAAATGGCTTAACCAAGGTTAGAGGCAGGTCAAAAGCTAGAATATGTGTCAACTGAGTTTAATTTAGTGTTCTTTCTACCTTGATGTTTCTATTCATCTATCCGTCTATCCATCTATCCATCCATCCACCCATCCATCCACCCACCCACCCATCCAACCATCTATTGATCTCTATACCAATATCTACGTAATCATGACTTTCTCTCTCTCTCTCTCTCTCTCTCTCTCTCTCTGTGTGTGTGTGTGTGTGTAGTATTTTGGGGGAAATTTTTCTGAAGTATTTTGTTCTCAGAAAGTATTTAAATTTGAAAGAAAGTCTAGAACCATTTCCTCCAGACTATGTGACCTTGATTCTTGAAGGAAACTCAGAATTTGAAATAATATAAACATGGCTTACTAAAGAATTTCACAGACTAATTCTGAATTGGGAATTTAAATTACATATTACTCACATTAACATATTTTTATCACCTCTATACATCAAAATTAATTTATTACTAATTTAATATATTGTTGCAAAGTCACCTAACCTGCCAAAGAAATGAGGTTGTGGTAGCAAAGCTGGATGAATATACTACCTGTGGGAAAAATACTTCAGAAGGAAGATACACAAAAATATTTGGATTACAATAAACAAATGATAGATCAGAAAATCTCTGCTTGGCCCATGTGTTTCTCCTGACCTAAGTAAAACTTTATTAATATATTTTTGTTTTAGATATTGTAGATCAGAAATTTACTTCTCAGATTTTGTTCCTAATGACAATAGTAATAATAAAATGTTAACAGCCAATGTGCCAAGCACTTTCTAATTACACAATCAATTATTTTAGAGATAAGAGAATCTACGTTACCTCTAAGATTCTGACTCAGAGCCAAGACATTAACAAAGGTGAGGAGAGACTGATGGAGGAAGTGGTTACCTGGGAGAATTCAGATCCCCGATAATACAGAACATCTGTTTCCTCGGTGTACAAGGACAGGAGGAACAGGGAACATTTATTAATTAAAGAAATAGAATATGATATTTCTCCACTACTCATCTATGCATTATTTTCTTCCCCTTGACAAAAACTGAAGACAAAAAAGATTCCACTATTTGCCCAGAGAATGTGCTTAGCACTTTATGCAAGTTACCTCACATCAACCTTGACAGTAAATATAATTTTATCCTATTTTAAGAAGATGAATATCACCCAAAGTCTGTCCCGGTTAGCCAGTATGTCACTCTCCTATACCCATCTGCGGACCCACCCAGCTTGTTCTGTCTGTGCCTCCCTCTTTCAATCTCATACCCTCCTGGTTCTTATCTCTGTTTCACTTTTATAACCCCACTCCCTTTCCTTTGTACTTAGCATTTGATCTTCCTAGCTGTCCTTGAAGCTCCTTCAGGCTTTTGCTTTATTTTTTTTTCTGTGGGAAACTGGGCATGTCAGTTCTGTGTGATTCCTCTGACCAGGATGTTAATTCCAGCAAAGACCTAAGCCTTGGGGAGGCCCAGCTAGTGGGTCGTTGAATAGACAGGATTCTTTTGGTTGAAGTGAGAGAATCCCAAATCAAATGAGCTCACATAAGAATGGCAATTAATTGTTGGGAAGAAGGTTCTGGAAACACTGTGCCCTGACATTTCCTTTCCCCTCCATTTATCACTGAACCATGCATCTCCTCAGATCTGTGGCTGCTATCACCTGCAAAGTTCTGGGTTTGGGAGAGATCTCAGGTTCTGCTGAATGTCCCTGGGCACTTCGTTCTATGGCGATAGGCCAGGCAATTAGCTCACAGGCAGCTTAGTGATAGCGACTGAAGGGCTGAAGATACTAGGGCAATCTTGAAGGTAAGGAATCTGTGAATCTGGGAGAACATCAGTCCAATGTGATGGGTCCCGACTGACTGGATCTTTGACGTTAGGCAAATACAGAGACACTGGAAAGCAAGAAGCTTGGGCATGGCGAGGACCAGGAGGATAGTGTCAGTCTACTCTGTACTGAAAGCCCATAGCAAGAGTGGAGAGGAAAAAGACAGCAAGAGCCCAGTTTGTCTCCCATTCCCTAATGAGCAATTGATTCAAGGAAAGACTGAAGAGGGGTGAGATGTCTGTATCAGATATTCCAGGAAATGAATCCTTGTTCCTAAGGGAGTGCCATAGGAAGAAGTGGACCGTCTTCATCCTCTGCCAACATCAGCCTGAGCTGTGGGAAGTTCAGGTGCTGCTCAGGAGAGTAGAGCACAGAAATGGGAGGACCCTGGAGTCTGACTGAACTCACTGAGTCAATGAGCCAACCAACCCTGAAGCTTCCCACATCTCTAGACACCCCACTGTGTGAGATGGCACGTGTCCTTGTTTAATCAAGTTGTAGCCAGGGTGTTATGTGCTGCCTGATGCAACCTAACTGATGCAACTTGATAAGAAGTTACAAAGCAATTAAGTTAAATGGAATTATTTAACTACAAAATGAAGGATGGGGGTGGAGTGATAAAGAGAGGACAAGAAGAGACAGTTACATAGAGAGAGAGGAGACAGAGATAGGGATAGAGGACGTACAACTATATGTAAGGGGAAGAAAGTGTTCAGAGCAACTGCTTAATAGAAATCATTACAAAGTATATACAGTAGTACCCTTTTATCTGTGGTTTTGCTTTTTCCGGAGTTTCAGTTACTC